TAACTCCAGAGCCCAGGAGCGTAAGCATTCCACTGCATTATTCTAAATGCTACTTAGCAGAACATACAGCTATTGCGTGGACATGAAGGCATTTGTGGCATCCACACATCAGCCTAACCCCAGGAAACCCAGACACAAGATAAGGTTCAGCAACCCACCATGTGGCTAATGGACAATTCTTCTAACCTCAACCTCAATCTCTTCACTTTGAAAATGAAGCCATTGAATAGAGTTGCTTAAACACTCAAGTTTCCTGATTTTGTGATTAATAGATATCACTCTGCCATTTTCTAATTATAAGAACGTGGGCAGTTTCCCTCTAAAGCAGTTTGCGTATCTGTAAAGTGAAGGTAAGGCTAGCATCTCTTTATTCACATGACATAATCCATGTAAAGCAGTTAACACAATGCTTGCAACATACAAAGTACTCCTATGTATCCGCTTGACATCATTATCATCATCATCATCATCATCATCATCATCATCATCATGTTATTATTATAAAAATCACTACTTTATTAGTACTGACATTAATAATAAATACCAAAGTATTCATTGTACATTTACAACTGATCTTCACCTTCACTTGATGTCACTGCACTACCTGAAGGGACCGAAAAGAATCATTAGGAAACACCTGTGTAAGGCCCCAAAAGGCAAATGTCTCCTCACCAACTGACAGATGAGTGGCAGCTACGGGCTAAGAAAATCTCATTCCACATTTATTGCATCCTGATCGTATCATGGTGAAGTGTTTAAGAAGCAATAAAACAAAATCACTCTCTGGTCATAATAGATTAATGTACCAGCAGGCAAAGCCCCAAGACACTCTACCATTTGATGAAATAGTTCATTTTAACCTGACCTAAAAAGTGCCACTTTTTCCACAGCACTTTAGTGTCTAGCCATTCATAATTAAGGTGTATGTAGTAGGGAGGAAGGTACAGAGGTCCTTGCTGGACTAGACAATAATTTCTCAAAAAAAACAAAAAACATTTTCCACAAATTCTCAAACTGCAATTCATTATATATACATTTTAATCAATATCCCCAGTTTTAATTGAAATGGTTTCATTTGGCTCTGGGAGGAAACAAACATTGTGTGTCTTTCCAAAGGGAGTATTTCCACCGATGATTTACCAGGAGGTCACCTTTTCAGTTTTAATGGAAAACAGATGATAATCCAGACACTGGATAACATTGCAATTAATGAAGGCAGAAGAATGAGCAGAATAGTGTTTAATACATAGAAGTCACTGAATAATTATTTGTTGAAAGAATAAATAAGTGAATGGCTCTGTGAAAAACTGTCATCCCACATTTTACTTAATTTTAATCTCTCTGAGCTTCATTTTTTTCATTTCTAAATAAGTCCTACCTTTTGAGGTCAGTAGAAAATGACCAAAGACATGATGTCTATAAGCAGGCATGGAATATGGGCTCAGTTAACAGTTGTTATTGTGATAATATGGCTCTATAGACTGCTCCCAAAGCATCCTTGTCTTCATGAAAACATCACTTTATCCCTTGGAGAGAGCTGTACAAATGCCTTGATATCCTCTGGCAATTTTCAGAATGACAATTAGATTCGTGAGGGAAGCAAATTATTGCTGTTTACTCATGGAATTTGGTGTGTGTCAAATCCCCATGTGATTCTGGTCAGCAGCTCCTCTAGATGTAAAATTTCTCATAAAGCAGTGGAGGTAGCAGATATTGGTACAGTCTTTGCAGGAAGCAATGAGACTGTGCATAGGAAGAGCTTAAACCCTTTTGTGTTAGGATGAGTCAGAAAGAATGTACCACAGGTGCAGTCACAGATGTATGCACTAGAATATTAATGACATCGTTATTCCTATGTAGTCAAAAATGCTGCAATCCCCTTAATATCCAAAAAAATCATGATATGGAAATGTTCAGGATATTTTGTAAAGTTAAAAATTAATAAGATACAATACCAAATTTTAAAAATTAATAAGATACAATACCAAATTTTATTCATAAAGCATATTAATATACGCTTATATATGTGACTTTATTGACTTTAATTTTTTTCTGTAAACAGCATATTTTTCACAGAATAATCATATATATATATATATATATATATATATAATAATCATATATATATGCCTCATATGCTAATTGTCCCTCTGACTGTTTGACCATTCGACCAGTCACTATGATGTGCACTGACCACCAGGGGGCAGACTCTCCGACCGGTAAGTTAGCTTGTGCTGGAGTCCGGCTGATCAGGACTGGGTGAGATGGGCCGGGCACGCTCTGGAGCCCTCCCGTAGTCTCTCCCCAGCCCTGATCATGCACCAGTGGGGTCCCTCGGCCTGGCCTGTGCCCTCTTGCAATCCAGGACTCCTCAGGGGATGTTGGAGAGCCGGTTTTGGCCCGATCCCCACAAACTGGGCCGAGGGACCCCACGAGTGCACAAATCCATGCACTGGGCAGCTAGTTTGTTAATAATCAGACAAAATGTGATTAGAACATATAATATACAAATCATGGGGGCTTATAGAAAGTGATAGTATCTTCTCAAAGTATAGAAGAGTGAGGATTTCTTGCTTTCCCGAAATTTAGCAGCTCTGCTTCTTCTTGGGTCCTTCCTGTGAGAGTGAAGAAGTCCTGATGAAAAAATATATCCTGAGATGTTGAAGCCTTATTGGACATGTTAGCTTAAAAATGTCATAATTGTAACATGACACCAGGGGAGAAGACTTCATACTGCTAAATGATTTCATGATGGTGATACTGAAGCACCAGTGGGAGATCTATTTCAGAACACAGACATTTGAAGTATATTTCAGATAAGCCTCTAAGACAGTGGTTCTCAACCTTCCTAATGCTGCGACCCTTTAATACAGTTCCTCATGTTGTGGTGACCCCAATTTCATTGTTACAAATTGAACATAATTAAAGCATAGTGATTAATCACAAAAACAATATGTAATTATATATGTGTTTTCCAATGGTCTTAGGCGACCCCTGTGAAAGGGTCATTTGACCCCCAAAGGGGTCGCGACCCACAGGTTGAGAACCGCTGCTCTAAGACATTGCGAACAGTTTACCAAGTCTGTGTTCTATCTTTGTCTTGGACACATGAGACTTCTTTGTTGTTTGGGGTGGACATATTCAATGATTTCTAACACAAAATGAGAGTAGAAATGATGTCTGCCACTTCAAGACCTGGCCCATAAACACCTTCCATGCACACTTCTCAAGGTCTTCTTCTCTTTCTGGATAAGACAATCATAGAGACTTTAGAAGGCACGTGTTGAACATAGCCAAGCTTTCATTAGCCTCTCTCGCTTAATGACTCTCAGAAGAACCATCAGTTAATCTGTACACCCACCCAACTCTGTTAGATGAGCAAGAAATAGACTACATTCTGCTTAATTTGTTACATATTGAAGGGCCTATTTGTTATAGCAGCAAGAGATAACCCACCTAATACAGTCACATCGTCTATCATGTACACTTAGCTGTATACATGGCCTGGCCAAATTCATTCTTTTTTTTAATTGTCTTATTGCTTAAAGTATTACAAAGAGTATTATATATTCTTGATGAAGAGGTGGAGATGCCACTTTTGTGGATGAACCACTCCATGATAAAAGGTAGAGAATAGTCCATGTGTACCATTTTTTAAGTTGGCACATAAAATTAATCTTCACAATTTGCTTGCTTGCTTTTTTGCTCATTTTTTAATTAAATAATTTATTTATTTCTTGGTCCTTGGGGGTCATTATTTCCACAGGATTCATCTAATCCAAAACCTGTGGTGACCTGGAATGTCCCAAACTCACATGCCAGCTCTCCCAGGGGCTAGCTAATAATGGTGCTTTACTACAAAGCCTCCAGTTCTGCCTGTGTGACTGGAGATATCCAAGTCATAGGTTTATTATTAAAATTAATTGGGAGAGAAATACACTGACAAGCTCTCTAAATACAAGTTCATATTGAAATTATTTAAAATTCTATTTATGTATCAGAGTTCCAACCTTTCAAGCAAATGAATGAGAAAATAGAAAATTTCTCACGTGAAGCACACTAGTTATAAGTAACTGGCATATTTGAGTAAAGAAAGATCAAATTAATAAATGAACTTTATAGTGAGTGGACAATGATTTTTAAGGTAAAGAGAAGCTTTGAAAACCACAACAGATGATTATTGAAGAGCCCAGGAACAGTGTCAAAGTTAAAGTACACAGAATATTCAACCCTAAATTCAAGGTCGTTAACACACCCCTGATTTTTCTCCAGTGAATCCTGGGAGAATGCCAGGCAGTTTGGGGGTCCTGTGACAACTGACCCAAGGGAGCCCAGGTTTCCACCAGGCAACAGTCCAACATCACTGGAGTTCCCGAGATCAATATCCATGAGTCTTAAATAATTCTACCCATGGGACAAAGGTGGAAATTTATTAACTTCAGCCTGTTTCTTTTCAGACCCTCCCCTCCAGAAATTAAAAAAATTCCGTGGTCCTTCCTCATTCAAGGTCAAACTGTTACAAACTGTTAACTGAAATTAGTAATGACTCCTGGTAGAAACTTCTTAGGCCAGGCCACCTTTGACCCAAATGGAGCATCCATTTTCTCATTGAACTAAAGATTTTCTGGGTCAGCAAATCTCCAGAGAACACAGCACCAAGATCTAGCAAAGCCCATATCATAGGCACCTTGCAATATGCTTGATTTATGAAAAACAATGTCATTTTCTCTTGCTTCTTTGATAATAAATGTATGTGTTCTTATAAGCAGCAGCGTAGTTTTATATGCAAAGACTTTTACATCTGCAATTCTTTTTGTCTTCCTGTGAGAACTGGGACAAGAAAACTTTATAGTGTGCTTTGATTCTCTTTGTAATAAAGGCTGGATGGTTAGCTTTCTTGGTGCAGCTTTCCATGGTAGACAGCTCTGTTTTTTAAAAATGCGCAAGAAATTAATTTTATGAACACTTTGTTCATATTGCTTCTCTACCACTTTTTCCAGGAATGCCCCAGCGGTGTTGTTAACGAAGACACCTTCAAAGAGATTTACTCACAGTTCTTTCCACAGGGAGGTGAGTACGAATGAGGACTTGTTAACGTACTCTCGGTTAGAATTATGCTTGCAATCTCTTTTTCTTTTTCCACTTGGTGCTGCTTTGGCCTTGGGGAGGGGCACTGTGGTAATCATGCAGCTGTCTCTCTTACCCTTCATATACACTCTTTCTTGGTCTGTGTGGGGCAGGCTGAGCTTCAGCCTCAACCCCATGTTCTAGAACTTTCTCTGTGGTGTTTGTTCATCAGTAATTGTTCATTGTTCTTCCTGTGAGGGGGAATGAAGCAGGCATGGACCTACATGGCCATTGGGTGAGGTCACTTCTCTTTGGGTGTTGATCTTGTATCCTAATCCCTTGCTGACTACTTATGCTTGCAATCTTCGGTTTGGTTCATCTTTCAGGGTATAACTACATTTTTAATCATGATGTAGAAGAATTAATATACAGCATGCAAGGGTACATGAGTTTCACTATCTCCTAAAAGTGAACTACTTACAAATTAGCAACTATCCATGAGCTTGGTCTTTAGTTTAGCACAAGTGGTATCATTGGTGCCTAGTACTGTGGTTCTCAAATGCACAGTACTTTTGTTGTTATTTTTTAAATTTATCTTTATTGTTGAAATTATTACAGATATCCCCTTTTCCTCCCCCATGAGCCCCTTTGCACATCACTTTCTGACTATGACGGCCTGGTCCCATGCCTCCAAGCTCTCCCATGCATTTTCGGTGTCATTTGATTCTCCCAACTCTCAAAATTAGGACAAATGTAATTATCCTCAATTTACAGATGTGAAATCTGGGGCTTAGAGAAATTAAATGGCTTGCTGGGGGCCACACATCCATTAAGTGGCAGATCTGGGTTAGAAACTAGATTTCTTTGGAGCCTCGCCTAGGGTCCTTTCTGCTGTTTTTCTATTTTTAGGTAACTCTACTATGACCACCACCCCCCATCTGAGAAAAATGAATACCACGCTAGATATTATTTTAATTGGAAAGAAAACAGGAGTGCAAAATATAATGCATATGTGTTAGAGATGAATGAAGGCCACTAGACATTTCTGTTTGTCCTTCAATCGCCCATCAGGATGCCCAGCTCATGTGTTAGGTGCTGGTAATGTAAGAGTAATGGGATGGGGTACCTGACCCCAAAGAATGTTCTAGTCTACTGTAGTAGGTGGGCCATGTCAAAATTAAGTGTGTGAGGATAGAGAGCTAAAAAATACTATTGTGGGAGCACAAGGTAGGACAATTCGAGCAGCTGAAGGAAAGGGGGGGATATGAAAATGAGGCCATCCAGACAAATTGAATCTGGGCTGATATAAGCACCATTTATCAGGCAGCTGGCATGTGTCGGACCCTGTCATGCATTACCCTTCACCTTCCAACAACCCTAGAAATGATTCTCCCTTTTTAATAAATGCAGAAACTAAGGTACAGAGAGGTTCATCCATTTCCTCTTCAATAACTTTTTTTTACTGCTGTCCACTGAAAAGAATTCCCTATCATCTCATGCCAAAATAACTCAATAGTCTCTAAAATCATCTCCCTGATTCTGACTGTCCTCCCTGCTTACCTATCATGGTCAATTCTCAACACAAACTGAGTGGTCCTGCCAGATCATGTCACCACTCTGCTCTATCTTTGTCCCATCAGAGCAGAGGCCACAACCGACATAGGACCTACAGGTTGAGCTTACTAGTCTCCTGCTCCCTCTCTGACTCATCCTTCACCATTCTCCCTGTGGACTCACTAAGTTTCTGTTACACTAGCCTCCTTACCCTTCGTTCCCCCAACGTGGCCATCATATTGCTGCTCCTGGGGCCTTTGAACTTACTGTTCCTTCTGCCTGGAACTCTCTTCTCTCAAATATCCATTCAATGCCTCACCACCTTTGTTTTTATTGAAATGCCACCCTCCCTTAAACTGCAACCCCTTAAACATTCCCCTTCCCCATTCCCTGCTTTATGCTTTTAGCACTCAAGAGCACCTAATGGTATATACTATTTAACCTCTTTTTATTATGGTTTATTGTCTCTTTCCCCACTGGAATGTCACCTCCAGGGGAGCAGAGGGTTTTGTCTGTTTTGTTCACTGCTGTACCCCCAGGTTGTGGAACAGTGGCTGACAGGTAGCAGAACTGCATAAGCACTCCCTGCCTATGTGAGTGAACAGGTGAATGACTGAGTGACTCACCTCGCCTGGTGGCTATAGCAATACAATGGAGTCATTGCTATAATAGGCATTTTGAAAGTTTACAGCACCTAAATATTAGTTATTTCCTACAACAATTAGATTCTCTTCTGGATTTCAATACAGTTGGTGTTAGCAATTTCAGTGGGTTGAAAGTGATTTCGTACATGGATTGTCAAAATAGAAATTTTCATTTAAGATGGCCTTTTAAGAGAAGTTAATTAGAATTCAATTCTAAGAAAACACAGTGTGGCCTATTATTATAGGATTTAGATATGCTGTGTGAGACAACTCCACTCGCCATCTCATTACTAAGGGGCCCACAGACAGGTACTGATTGGTTATGGAGACCACTGCCAGATTGTAATGGGTCCAGTGTCAGCATTAATAAAGAATTTGGAATATTATTTGATTAACTCTTGTATTTCTAGATTATTAAAAGCCATGGAATTTTTAAAGAAAAATCATGCTTACTATATATTTAAGTGTCTGCCAACATATTGATAGGCAATAATATCAAAGCACCTAGCACAAATGGAAATCTTTACTTTTTATTATCTCCAATGAAAGTTGTTACATGATACAAATTAGATACAGTTCCACATTAAAAATTAATCTTCACTTGAAAAATAACATTTTGTCATTAAAGAACATTCACTTAAGCACAATTCTTTGCAAAGGATTCTTGTTACAAAATCCAAAGGGATTTGGAGAAAAATTACTTTTGTACTCTTAAAAATTCTTTGATTATTCACGATAATTGAATGCATAAATCTAAAAGTACCAGGCATAAATAAAGGAAATGAAATATTTTCAAGAATAATAACTTGCCATTTAAAAAATTACTATCATGCCTGCAAATGGGATCTTGCAGCACTCCTACAAAAGGGAAAAAGTCCTAAGGAAGAACAGCGTCTCCAATGGCAGGAAAATTCATACTATGGCCATCTTCACTCTCCTGTGACTCCATTCACTTAAGTTGCTGATCTGAAAGCAACAGGTGTGTCTCATTATGAGCAGTAACAATGATGGCTCCATCAATCACAATGTCTCACCATTTCCGCCAGGAAGATGCCTTGTCTCATCTACAGCACCTCCTGCAATTTGTATTGTGTCAGGCTCTTCGTTTTCTCTGTTGCTTAGCGAGGCGCAGCTCATTTGGTGTTCTGGATGTCAGCACAGCGAGATTCAACAGAAGCTTCTTATTTGCAAGGGATAAAGTCTGCCTGCTATAAAACAAGCCGAGTGGACGTTGTATACTGATGCCTTTACCTAGATCATTACTTTTTCAACTTCACATACAGTGGAAGCTTTAGCATGGATGCTCTCAGCTTACTAAGCATTTTTAAAGATCATAAAAATTGCCATTTCCTGGGCTACTCCTGCTTACGTTGTAAGAATTTTGCACTTACTTTGACTATACTGGGCAGCCGATAAACAGCTATTGAAGGAATGAATGAATGAGCTACAGTTAAAAAAATTCTAAGTCAACAAACATTTATTGATCAGCCACTGTATTTAAGGCACTTGAGGTACTTAGGTGGGTTTGATGGACATAAAGATTTTTCTTTTAATTTTTCAAGTAACTCCATCACTGAATATCTACGATGATATTTGTGAGAATTTTCAGAGTGATTTATAAAGGGCTTGTTGAACAGAAACTACTATTTATGTATATGAACCTGCCTTACCATAGCAATGGTGCCATGAACTCTATATTCAAATGCTCTATATTCAGAAGTCAATTCCATACATTGTGCTTCAGTTCAGGTAGGGAGTAGGGATTTGTGGTGGGAAGAAAGAAATAAACTAGATTGGTTTCAACACTCAGACCTAAAACATGATAATCTAATATTCTGAAATGAGTGTGTATCAATGAAAGGGCTAATTGGTATGTACCATCATTGTGGTCTGGAAATAACTGGGTTAAGGTCACTGGACTAAGTCAAGAGTCCTGAGTTTGTGGCTAGACTATACCAAGACCAAGGTGTGTTACTCAAGTGTTTTATTTCTCTGGGCCTCAGGTTGTTTCTCTGTGAAATGGGGACAACATTTGTGTAATATCTATAAAATGTGGAACAAAGTATCCTCGGCTTTCTCTCTGCTCCAATAATCTTTATTTCTAAGAGTTAGTATGGAGATGTCTTGATTTTATTACTGACTCTACCATTAACTAACGAGGTGACCTTAGCTAAGCCACTGAAATCACCTGCACTTACTGTTCACCTTTGTTAAACATACATACATAGTTAAGTGATATACAATATCCCCTTCTATCCTAGGAACCCATACAGTTTCCCCCACCTGTAAGATTTCAACTTCCCAAGTAAAATTATAAAAAACTGAGGCAAACTTGGCGTATCAAATTCAGTAGCTGTTTATGTTATATGTAAGGAAATGTGAACTATTAGGTGATATGGGGAGAAAAGAGAGTACCAATATCTTTTGGGCCTTGAACTGTATTGAAATCTAGAATTTAAGATTCTACTTATTCATCCTTTTGGCAAATATTTACTACTATCTAAGAAGAATGCAGTCAGATGGAACCAGACCATAGGACTTTTGTGGACAGTTTTCCTTTTCTTCACCCACCGCTATGCCCAGCCAGATTCTTCAGTGCCTCGGCTCCTTCCTCTTGCCCAGTCAAAGCAAGTAGCATCACTCCCCTTCTTTAAAAGCTTGCAGTGTCTCCAAAGGCCAGCCAGCGGTCCAAAGTCCACCTGAATCGTCAATGCCTTTCCAGACACAAATCTACTAGTCCATCGAGCATGAGGTTCTATTAATTAGAATACCAGTCACTTAAACATACAACAGAGTTTACAAAAAAATAGGAAGCTTTTCAGGTGAAAATATATTCCATTTGTAAAAATAATTGATCACATGTCTTTAAGGTAGCTGAAATAAAAGTGTCTTGTCTATGAAAGAAGAATACCTAATATTTATTGAACATTTAATATATACCTAGGACTGTTCTAAGTACTTTGCATATAGTATTTCATCTAATCTTTTCGTAATGACTCTATGGAGTACATATTGTTACAGTTTTACCGGAAACTGAGTCACAGAGAGATGAAACAACTTGTCCAAGGTCACGCAGTTACTATTTGGTCAAGCTGAGATTCAAGTTCAGGCAGTCTGACTTGACTACACTATTAACAACTGCTCTCTGCACAGAGTGCCTAGGCTGTTAAACTGCTTCACTTCCCAGAGAATTGCAAAGGTGCATTTAGAAGAACAAGAAGTCCTCTGTACCATGTTAGGGAAGACCTTTAGAGTGTATATCCCACCTGTCAAACTTTAAAGCTAGAGCATTTGAGAAGAATGGTAATTATTTATGTCCATGTTTGTTAAATTTAAAAAATTCTCAGCACTGTTTGTTCTGAGCCATTATTCATGGTGAATTCTACTTGCTATAGTAAAAGCATTCACTCTGGTTGTATAAATAGGGTAACAAGAGACCTGCTTAATAAAGCTCATTATAAAATATGCAAAATCTCTTTTTTCTCCTTGAAAATATACGACTTATCATCTGATATCTCCATAGGGCACTAAATCGTTCCAGAACTCTGTGTAAGAGTACTGTTGAGAGCAAAACAACTTTGCGAATAAAATAGGCTGCCAATTCTCGATAACTCTGTACCAGAACGTCCCAACAATTTCACTGAGTTGGTTGCAATTAACCCCTGGTCCCATATTCAAAGATTTCTTCCTGCAACCCACCCATACCTGATGGACATCCACTCTACATATGGTGTCTTTATATATTATTCAGACCCAATTGTAGTAGCTGTTTAGTTCATTGAAAACAGTGTTAATAATTCATACGTTTAAAAATAAGCAATTCCTTATATCATATTTAAAGCTCAGAGATGAAAGAAAATTCTACCTTCATTTTGAGAAACTGAACGTACAATCTACCTCATGAAGTATATGGCCTTCAATATCGTTAACCACTGGGGTAAAGCATGCAGGAACAATAATCCATAAGTAGCCACAGGCACTTGAGAGCAGGGAAGGAAGTTTGCATGACCTCTGACCTCCCTTATTTGGGGAGGACAATTACCTATTCCAGCTACTATGACTTAGTGTTTTTGACAACCTTTGAAAAGCAATTCATAAAGTAAAAGGTGAATAGAAGTTTTGTTAAAATCCCAATAAAAATAAAGGTTAAAAGTTCTAAAGCAGAAATGGATTTTTAACGGAAGATAAAGGCTAGAGCCAATGAGCTAAAAGGTTACAAGTTTTGTTAATATAAAAAAAAAGGTTAAGGTAAAAGGCTAAAACCCATGAGATGAAACATTTAAAATAATCAAGTAGATTTGATCAAGAGTCAAGCACACAAGCACTTAAAAATGAAAACTGTGCACTAAGAAAAGAAAACAGTAAGAAAAAGCATGTACTTTTAAAATAGAAAAGCACAAAGCTCAGAGATTAAGGAGACAAAGGAGAAACAGAAGAGGAAGGAAGGGTTACAGGGGGAAAAAAACCTATGAAGGGGAAGGGGTGGATTTCAGAGTACTTTAGTGTCATTAGGCAGCATGATAAGACATTGGGGACAGAGAGCCTTCCAAAACTGATTCAGAGCCCCAAATCCCACCCAGAACCCAGCCAGGGCAGGGGCTCCCTGCTGCTTGCCACCAGGAACTTTTAAGGCCACACAACCCCCTTCCAACAATGGGACAGACACTTGCCAAGTCACTGCTGGCTCAAATTTACTGGCTATGGGCTAGCCTGGATTTTTAAAGATCCAAGTTATGTGCCACTCTACTCCTTATTGACTGTGTGACTTTGGGCAAGTTTCTCAACCTCTCTGAGTCTCAGTAGCTTAACTAAATTATAAAATTGAGGAACGACACTAATAATAGCAATTCGTCTGTGTCTCATTCGTAGTATTTTTATTCTTTTACTTCTAGAGATTAGCCCTGCCAAGCACTAAGCTATTTCCAGATGGGTCTCACTTAATCCTCCCACCCACCTATGGTACTGACTCCTCCCGGAGCCAGTAATGTCATCCAAGACACCCAAGTGTTCAGATCATTTCTAGCCAGAAAGTTACAGAGGTGTCTGCCATCCATGGCCTCTATGTAGGTAGCTCACTCCTGTGAATCTCAAATTACAATCCTCTACTGAAAGGAGGCAGGCAACTAGGAAGAAAGCACCAGTTAACAGAGAAAATTTTCCTGCTTGGCCTAGGACTTTGGCATGTTATACAAGTCTTACGTAGGATATTGAAACGCTGACTTAATAATATTCCCTTTTCAACATTTCAGACTCTACAACGTATGCACATTTTCTGTTCAATGCGTTTGACACAGACCACAATGGAGCTGTGAGTTTTGAGGTAAGTCTTAGACTTTTTCTTTATGGTGACTTGACTTCAGACACTGAAAGGGATTTAATCTTTTTAGTTGGAAATTTTGAGCTTGATTTTTTGTTTTGAGCCTTTTATTCAGTGTTGTTTTTTTCATCTTTTTATCAATTGTTGATAGTATTACATATGTGCCCTTTGTTCTCCCATTGGGCCCTTACTATCCACTCCTCCCCCCAACCCCAGGCCTCCACCACCCTATTGTCTGTGTCCATGGGTTATGAATATATGCATACAAGTTCTCTGGTTGATCTCTTCCCACTCACCCACCCCCTTTTATTCTTTTTTTTATTATTATGGTAAGAATGTTCAACATGAGATCTACCCTCTTAACAAATATTGAAGTGTACAATACTGTTCACTACAAGTACAGTGTTGTACAGCAGATCTCCAGAGCTTAGTGATCTTGCTTGACTGAAACTTTCTATGCCTGTAGAGATCCTGGTTGCAATTCTTTCAGATAAATATTCGGAAGTGGGATTGCTGAATCATATGGCAGTTCTATTTTTAATTATTTTGAAGAACCTTCATGCTATTTTCCATAGTGGCTACACCATTTTGCATTCCTATTAACAGTGTGCAAATTCTCCAAATCCTCCATGTCCTCCTCAACACATCACCTTTCAGTTTTTTCATCCTGATACATGTGAGGTGATATATTGTTGTGGTTTTTATTTGAATTTCACTGGTGATTAGTGATGCTGGATATTTTTAATATACCTGTTGGCCATTTGTATATATTCTTCAGAGAAATAAGTGTTCAAGTCCTCAGCTTATTTTTAAAATTGAGTTACTAGAATTTTTTTATATTGAGTTATAGGAGTTTCTTATATATTTTGGAGATAACCCCTTATCAGATATATGGTTTATAAATATTTTCTCCTGTTCTATAGGATCCCTTTTCACTTTGTTGTGCCCTTTGCTGTACAGAAGCCTTTTTAGTTTGATGTAATTCAATTTATTTATTTTTTGTTGTTGTTGCCTGTGCTTTTGGTGTCCTATCCATAAAATCATTGCCAAGACCAATGTCATGAAGTTTTCCCCCAACTTTTCTTCTTAGAATTTTATGGTTTCAGGTCTTAATCTATTTTAAATAATAATTGTGCATAAAGTCAGGATCCAATTTTATTATTTTAGGTGTGTATATCCATTTTTTCTAACATGATTTGTTAAAGAAACTATGCTTTTCCTTTCCCCATTGTGTATTGTTGGCAGCCTTGTCAAAGATCAGTTGACTGTATATGCAAGGGTATATTTCTGCACTCCTATTCTGTTCCATTGATCTATATGTCTGTCTTTATGCCAGTACCATACTGTTTTCATTACTATAGCTTTGTAATATATTTTAAAATCAGGTAGTGTGATGCCTCCAACTTTGTTCTCTTATTCAGGATTTACTTGGATGTTTCTGGTCTTTTGTGGCTCCATTTGAATTGTAGAATGGTGTTTTATAAAAAACACCATTGGAATTTTGATAGGCATTGCATTAATCTTCAGATAGCTTTAGATAGTATGGACATTTTGCCAATATTAAACCTTTTAGCCCACTAACTCTCCATTTGTTTGTGTCTTCTTTAATTTCTTTCATCAGTGTTTTGTAGTGTTTGATATACAAATCTTTCATCTCCTTAGTTACATTTATATCTAAGTATTTTATTCTATTTTCTTGGTGCTATTGTAATTTCCTTTTGGATAGTTCATTGTTACAGAAATTCAACTGCTTTTTGTGTGTTGATTTTGTTTGCAGCTTCACTGAACTTGTTTACTAGTTCTAGCAGTTCTTCAGTAGACTCTATGATTTTCTGCATATAAGATCATGTCATCCGATTTCTTTTTCCTCACTAATGTCTCTGGCTAGGACTTCCAGCACTATGTTGAAAAGAAGTGGCAAGCGTGGCTATCCTTGTCTTGCTCCTGATCTTAGAGGGAAAGCGTTCAGTTTGTTATCATTCAGCATGATGTTAGCTGTAGGCTTTTTATATATGGTCTTTATTATGTTGAGATAACTTCCTTCTATTCTTAGTTTATGGTGAGTTTTTATCATGGATGTGTATTGAACTTTGTCAAAGGCTTTTTCTGCGTCTATTGGCATGATCAGGTGGTTTTTAACGTGGTATGTTACATCTATTAATTGTCATATGTTGAACCATCCTTCCATCCCAGGGATTAATCCTACTTGGTCCTGGTATATGGTCCTTTGGATGTGCTATTGTTTGACTTGCTTATATTTGGTTGAGGATTTTGCATCTATATTTTCAGGCATATTGGCCTGCGTCTTCTTTTCTTGTGATGTCTTTGTCTGGCTTTAGTGTCAGGGTAATGCTGGCCTCATAAATGAATTTGGAAGTATTCCTTACTCATCAATTTTTTTGAAAGAGGTTGAATAATTCTTTAAATGTTTGGCAGAAATCACCAGTGCAGCCATCTGGTCCTGGGCTTTTCTTTGTTGGGGGTTTTGGATTACTGATTCAATCTCCCAGTTATAGGTCTGTGCAGACTTCCTTTTTTCTTACATAATTTAGTCTTGGTACATTGTATGTCTCTAGAAATTTACCTAATTTTTCTAAGTTCTTTAGTCTGTTGGCATAGAGTTGTTTTTAGTAGTCTCTTATAATTCTTTTTATTTCTGCAGCATTAGTTGTAATGTCTCCTCTTTAATTTCTGATTTATTTATTTGAGTATTCTATCTTGTTTTTAAATATGTTTTTATTGATCTCACAGAGAGAGAAAGGGAGAAGGATAGAGAGATAGAAACATCGGTGAGAGAGAAACATCCATCAGCTGCCTCCTGCACACCCCCTACTGGGGATGGAGCCCACAATTCCAGAATATGCCCTGACCTGGAATCAAACTGGTGACCTCTTGATTCATGGGCCGATGCTCAACCATTGAGCCACACTGGCCGGGCAAGTCTTTAATCTTTTTTTTCTCTTAGTCTAGCTAAGGGTTTGTCAATTTTGTCTCTCTTTTCAAAATGTAAAATAAAAATCAGTTTCATTGATTTTTTCTATTGTCTATTTCATTTATTTCTGCTCTGATCTTTGTTTTCTTTCTTCTGCTAATTTTAAACTTATCCTTTTGCTACCTCCTTGAAGTGTACAGTTACATTATTTATTTGAGATATGTCTTCCTTTTTCATGTTGGCATTTATTGCTATAAACTTCCCCCCTAGTACTTCTTGATAATTTTTAAGCACACACACACTGAAAAAAAAGCCCAAGAATTTATTCTTCCCATCATTATATTGTCAAAACTATCCTTATCTTTTAAAAGAAGTGCAAATTACAACACACATTTAGTTTGCTGTCTAATATTATATATCTGTTTGTACAAGAAAAGCACATTTCCCAAATTACATGACAACAATCCCAGAAGACAAACAATTTAGCTAACCTTTAGGGCATCTGCTATGGGTCTATAACTCTGGTAGGCCTTTGAAATACAAAGCTGATAAAGTCAAAATCCTGCCTTCTAAGGCTCAGAAAGTGGGGGAGACAAGAAAGAAATGAAATATAACAGAATGCTATATTCACCAGCCTGACAATTTTACAAGGAAATCCCTTTTCAAATTATGTACATTAAATTATTTGTATTTAATTTTGTTTATGAAATGTATTTAATTAATTTTTTATGAAATTAAAGAAATAGTTTATTTCTGGAAATTTTCATTTAATAATTTTGGACTGTGGTCAACCATGGCTAACTGAACCCAAGGGAAGCAAAAGTTGTGGATATGGGGTGACTGCTCTAGCAACTATTTATTCTGAGTCCGGACAGGAGCTGATACAAGCCCGAACTACAATTGGGGTCACTGGAGATGAAAAGGAGGAGACAAGATCAAGAGACATGAAACTTAGTAGAATTATCTTTCAATACAACCTGTCATGTTTGGGAGGCGAAGTTCATTCATTCACCGCCAGCTGCCTGGAAGCGGGAGCTTTGTGAGGTCAGGGTGAAAGGACAAAGGCACAGCCCTCTGAGATGTCACTCAGTCAGTGGCCACAGGGGCAGAGGCACCAGGACAACCAAGTGTCTGCTCACAGGTACGAGGGTCTCATGCAGATTGAATGCTGGTGAAATGAAGAATCTGGGCCAGGAACTTCATGTCCCCTTACATACCTTAACCAAGACATACCAGGGACATGAGAAGAGTAGGAGCGGGCGGTGGCTCAGTAGGAGGTGTGGACTCAGAAGACTGCAGGCATCAAGGCCAGGGCAGTGGGCTTTATCTCGAATGGGGCAGCAGCAGGTATGGGGGGAGGGGGGAGGGAACAGAGGAGACACGTGAGAGTGTCATAGGTACCAGGGCCCCACTGATGATAGCTTACAATCACCCCATGATAACGTGTGCATTCGCATGTACTGCACTTAACCTACAAGATGAGTTCCAGCACAGCCTTAGTGTCGCTCTACTAGGGAAGTCAACGTCTCCAGTTCACCTAATGAAGTCGTTCAGAGCTAGTTTGCAGAGAATGAGTAAGGCACAAACTACGAGCAGTTTCATTTACTTGAAATTACTTCTGTGTCAGAAATGAAACATCAATTACCTATAGCACATTGTATCTAATTTCGTATGTAAATTTAGTCTGGTGTTAATGATACGGGCCCATGCATAGCACTGCTGCTGTAATATTTATGCAAAAATGCCGGTAATTATGATGAATGTTGATTGTAACTTGGAAGATTAGTTGTAATGGCTATATACTATAAGCATGCTGGTAAATGTCTTTCTTTTGAAGGCAAACGAATGGCTGAATTAATAAATGCTATATTAAAATCAAATTTAGCGCTAGGCTCTTGTAGTTCTTTTTCTAAATTGATTAGCTACCTGGAAGGTCTCTAGAAAACGAGCGTGTTGGGCAATGAACATATTTTCAGTAGCAATAGCATCCTGAGAGGGGCAGCAGAAACTATTCTGACTCCCCAGTAAAGGGAAATGGGCTTTTCTGCTTCATTTCCTCAAAGTCTGAAGG